CTCTTGTTTTATATTACAATTAATTAAATAAATAAAGTATCTCGTAAAACATAATTAGTTCTAATTATATCTAATTATAATTAGCATGAAGTTACGTGGGAATAGATATCCAGGTAATTATTAAATTGCATAAATAAATAACGTCTCGAATCGACACCGGTTCAGGGAATGCATAATCGTTACGCGTTCGATCGAACTGAACCGAGGAGAAAGATATCGGTGAGGAATCGAAGAGCTAACAAGGGAATTCAGAGAAGAAAGTAGGCTCCTCTCGCTGGACCACTTTTCATGAGCCGCGTTCCTAACGCAAGTTCACCAGAATCGATAATGATAAGCGATAAATCAGTTCCCTCTTAACTGATTTCATACTTCTTCAGTCCATCGTTCAATTCATGATCCATGTAAGAATAGGTAAATCTTTATTTTCAAAACAACACTCCAACTCTGTGTTAATTACACGAGTACCTGAATTAACTTTGAGGCGTAGTATTGCAAAATTTGATTTACCAAAGAAATTATTCTAAGCATCTCGGCTCTTCCTGGAACTTAAAAAATGTTCGGTCACAAAATTGATTTATGAGGCTAATATGTAAAAATGGCTGGATTTCTTTTTTTAAACCGCTCGCGACACTTGCATTTATATGCATGAATCTGATGCCTCGTACCGGCAATGAATTTTATCGTTACGCGGTGAGCATTGATAAATAAATGAGGCATGAACAGTTGCCGACTGCGTTTAAAATCACTTGGGTGATTTCGCAGAAAAATTCTAATAAGTGTAAATAGCAGGCTAGCATGCAAATCGAATTGACTAAAGAAAATGCCGACGGTTGAATAAATCCTGTCGGGTGGATCGATTATTAATTCCCAGCGAGCGCGAGAGAGACGTCATTTTATAGCACATCTGCGTTTTACATAATGCTGTCCACTCTAAAAGAGGAAATATGAATCAGTTCGCTGAAAAACATAATCTCGGATAGATTTAGAAAAAAGTACACGACCGGTGCACCTTTATGTAATACTATTATACAATTTTTCGAACGTAGGACGATCGAACATTATTCTCATCAATTCGTTCAGAGTTTGCGATGAAAATTAGTTTAGGCAATATTTATTTCAAACTGCAGATTCTTGTACAAAAAACAGTCGTGGCATTAATTTAAGGATGTATTGGCTATACAGTCA